GCTCTTTGATTTGTTGTTCTATAGCATCCATCCTCTTCTCCAATTGCTCCATTGCTTGCTACAGCTTGCTCTCGAAGACGACAGCAAGAACTAGTATGGGTTAACGAAGCTTTGATACCACCTGAAGCAGTACAAAGGTTGTGGAGGAGCAACTCCACCTTGCTGCTACAATGTGTATAGCACAAGTGTTGTGGAGGAGCAACTCCACCATGCAGTACAACGTGTTGCGCTAGATATCGCTCGAGGCGAATGTAGGCCGATATGGCAGCAAGAGTTCAATACAGAACTCCTAGAGCACAAGATCTACTCCAAGATCTTAGATAAGAACAACAGGTTCTATTATAGATAGTGGGTACATAGTCTGGGTTCAAAGTAAAGGTGAGGACCTCTATTTATAGGGCTTTGGGAAGCCTTCACATATTTCTACTTATAGCTAGAATACTCTTGAAAACATTATTTAAGTTTCACCATTCTACTCATAGCTACTCACAATTAGAAGACTTTAGAAAACAGTAGGTAGGATAGAAAAGAAAAGAAATACTACACTAGAGTGGAAGTATCTAGAAGTACCCAAACAGATCTGGCATGTGTTTTTCTTTCCTCTTCTTTTTCTATCATCTATTGTTCCTCATCAGTTGTACTAATTACCGTGTCAATAAACTGATGAGCCATACAATGAAGCTATGAGAGAGCCATTGAGCACCGCTTAAGAAGAATGACAAGCGTGACCAAAATCAGTTTGGTTTCATGTTGTTTTCTTGGTATGACAACTTATGGAGAGATACAGGAAGCAAAAAAGAGGACCTGCATATGGTGTTCATTGACTTGGACCATAAAATACCACGGAATGTCATGTGGTGAGCTTTGGAGAACCACAAAGTCCCAGGTACATTACCCTCATCAAGGACATGTACGATAATGTTGTGACAAGTGTTCGAACAAGTGATGGCGACACTGACGACTTTCCGATTGGGACTGCGGATCAGCTTTGAGCCCTTATCTTTCTGCTTTTTGCGGATGCTGTGGTGTTAATCGATGATAGTCGGACAAGGGTTAATAGGAAGTTAGAGCTATGGAGACAGACCTTGAAATCGAACGGTTTTAGACTCGGTAGAACTAAAACCGAGTACATGAGGTGCGGTTTCAATACTACTAGGCACGAGAAGGAGGTTAGCCTTGATGAGCAGTTGGTGCCTCTGAAGGACACCTTTCGATATTTGGGGTCAATGTTGCAGGAGGATGGGGATATCGATGAAGATGTGAACCATCGAATCAACAGGTGGTGCCTCTGAAGGACACCTTTCGATATTTGGGGTCAATGTTGCAGGAGGATGGGGATATCGATGAAGATGTGAACCATCGAATCAAAGCCGGATGGATGAAGTGGCGCCAAGCTTCTGGCGTTCTTTGTGACAAGAGAATGCCACAAAAGTTAAAAGACAGATTCTATAGGACGACGATTCGGCCCGCGATGTTGTATGGCGTTGATTGTTGGCCGACTAAAAGCAACATGTTCAAGTTCAACACTTAGATGCACATGTTGAGATGGATATGTGGCCACACAAGGAAGGACCGGTCCGGAATGATGATATATGAGATAAAGTTGGGGTAGCACCGATTCAAGAGAAGCTCATCCAACATCGTCTTAGGTGATTTACGCATATTCAGCGCAGACCTCCAGAAGCTTCGGTACATAGCGGACGGCTAAAGCGTGCTAATAATATGAAGAAAGGTCAGGGTAGACCGAATTTCACATGGGAGGAGTCCGTAAAGATAGATCTGAAAGACTGAAGTATCACCAAAGAACTAGCCATGGACAGGGGTGCATGGAAGCTTGCTATCCATGTGCCAGAACCATGAGTTGGTTGCGAGATCTTATGGGTTTCAGCTCTTAGCCTACTCCAACTTGTTTGGGACTAAAGGCTTTGTTGCTATTGTTGTTGTTGTTGTATTTGACACTGAAAATAATATTCATCCCTGCCTAACACTGAGTCTAAATTTTATGCCCTTCATAACACTTCCGTCCATTTTTAAACCTTAACAGTGTCAAATGACACTTGAAAAGACCTTTTAAACCCTCAGGTGGAATGTGACCAAATTTTTAATAGATGCTGATATTGATGTTTGATGTGTTTTTTTCTTCCCATTTGATTTAACCAGAAATTTTATTTATTTATAGACACCAACGATTTTTCTAAGTGCAGGTTACAAGCTTAATCATGGAAATGCATGTGCATGTTCATGCATATAATGGCTGATCAATTGATTAGTTTGCCTCATGTGCCAAACTGCTAATGCATGCATACGTTGAAGCCTAGGTGCAGCCGAGTACATGCATGTATGCAGGGCTTCCGTGCTAGAGGCGCAATAGCCGGTATGTACAGATACGTACATCGGTACATAAATACCCGCTTACCGGCCGGCAAGTGCACGTACATACCCAAATACTCGAATACCCGGCTGAAGAACAAAAGAATTAACTTCTGAAATAGCTTAATGCATGCATACATTGAAGCCTAGGTGTACCCATGCGTTCAAGACCACATGCATGTCTGCAAGGCTTCCGTACTAGAGACGTAGTAGCCCGTATGTACAATTGCATACATCGGTACATGAATACCCACGTACCGGCCGGCAAGCGCACTTACATACCCGAATACTCATATACCCAGCTGAAGAAAAAAGGAATGAACTTTCGAGATAGCTTAAGAATTGCACTTTTGGAAATGAACCGGGCCAAACAGTTGGTTCACATTACATGAGGGCAAAAGTGTTTCTTTACATGTAATCTAACAGCGTTAGGCGGGAAAATGGATGGAAGTGTCATAAAGGGCATAAATTTTAGACTCTGGAGCTAGATAGGGGAGAAAAAGGTTTTCAGTGTCAAATAGGGAAACAAAATTTAAAATGGTGTTAAATAAGGAATTATTTCATGTAAATAGGTGAAAACATACCTTATCTGGGTAAGGCATTGATTCATCTGCATTAAAAATTCCATGAACACCATCAAAAACTACACTTGGTGAACTAGTGTAGATAAGTCGCTTCACCTTGCAATAGATACACGCATCAATGACATTCTTTGTTCCTGTGAAGTTTGTTTTACTGTATTATGTAACACGAGAAATAATGATAGAAAAAACTAATGACTCATGCAATCAACTTGGTGCCATCCCATCAGCAAATCAGTGCCATCTCCGAATTACTCCCTCCGTCCCATAATATAAGAGTGTTTTTTACACATGGGACGGAGGGAGTAGGAACCAAAGCTGTGAAGCATACAAATTCACATTACAAACCTTCAACATTCACCGAATAATGAAGATGGAAGTTGTTGATGGATGAGTCTGGAGCAGCCATATGAAAAACTACTTCTGCCCCCTCAAAAGCTGCAAACAAAAAACACACAAGACAGAGATAAGGACAAAGGTAGTAGGCATCAATGAACTAAATTGACTAACGCCCATAAATACCTTGCTATATCAGAAATAACTGATATGTAAAAGCATGAAGATATTGGTATTCTGAACAAACTGGTAACTACTAAGACAACTGCCAATTAACAAGGAGAACTCTGAAAGTACAATGGGTAAGTATGGAAAAATAGGAATATGATTCTCGATTTCCTGGTTTTGTACCACTACTTCTATGCAATAACATTCAGTACACTCACTGACCGATGACTAAGTTCAACAGAATCAACAAAGAAGACATAGCTGGGACCAAAATAAAGCATAAAATTGTCAAGCAACTAAATGGACTCACCCCACAGCAACACACGTAAACACAGTGAAGAATCTATGCACAACCCCACAGTTTATTTTTAGCGTAAATCACCAATAATCGGTTCTTGTAGTACATAAAAATACAGAATTTAGAAGAGTTCACATACAGAATTTAGAAGAGTTTATTACTAGAGTTCACACCACACGAATTTCTTTTAGTCATCGCCACAACATAAATGGGGTGTACAGCATCTCCACGATCAAAGATTATAAGTGCCTCTTCGGTTCCTCTCCACTCCCTCGACTGCGCTCCTGGAGCGGAGCAGGCTGCAGCTCATTTTCACGGAGCGGCTCAAACCGAGCTCCACAGCTCCATGGAGTGGAGAGATTCCGAACAGGGCTTAAATGTCGATGTGTAGCAGCTAGATACTCAACCAGCATTGGTCTTAGCAAATTAACTCGTCAACCTAAACAATAACAACAACGCAGAAGTAACAACAGCATCTCTATCACAAGGTAAATCATGTCACCGTGAATCATTGATTCCTCCGAGTCCTACCAACTTCAGAAGCAGCCGCGTAGGCTGATAAGCACCAATCTCCAGATCCCACATCCACACGGACAGGGAATCAGAGAGCACATTACCACCAAAACCCTACCCAGCCTAGCAATCTGGAGAGCAAGTGGTGGATTGCACACACCTTTGGCCAGCTGGGCCTTGTCGCGGAGGTCGGCGGACGCGTAAACGGCTTGTCCTTCGCGGATGGCGGCCCCGAGGATACCCTGCTCCTCGTCTCGGTCGAGAGAGATGACTTGGGCCAGGTCGGCCACGCGCACGCGCCACTCGCCGGAGCGGAGAAGCATCAGCACCAGATGTCTCGCCGCGAAGCCGCGGCCGCCAGTGACCACACACCATCTCGCACTGGCTTCGGCCGCATCCATCTATCTGTCGCGCCGTCGCCGTTCGTCGTCGTCGTCAGATTCGAAGCGCTTATGGCGTCATCAAACACTGTGCACACTTTCTGTGATATTTATCCCGTGGGTAGCTGCGATCCGATCTGTGGGAGCGAATTGCACAAGAAAAATGCTAAATGTAAAGGCCTGCACATGCTACACAAGGTTTTTTCTTCTTTTCTTTTAGACGGATGCTACACAAGGTTACGGCCCTCTTTACGGGCAAAAATCACAAAATTGACCTGTGGACAAAAGTATTTTACAAATTAAACCGTATTCGAAAAAAAATCACTTAGCTAAACCTTTTATGTAGCGCCCGACAAACAGACGGTGCACCTTGTTGTGTAGTGCCTTCGCCTAGCCAGTGTGGCACCCCTGGTCCAGGCCAGCCCCACATCTGGTCATGCAGCGCCTAGACGCCCAGCGCCACACCGCCATATGCAGCGCCTAGCGCATAGGCGATGCACTATGACTTAGTAGCCGCCGCACGCTGGTCCTCCTCATCCACCCCCATTCGTTTCAGAACAGAACAGAGAGGAAGTGCGGCGGCGGCTCTCTCATCTCCCCCTCTCAATCCTTTCTTCAAAAAAACTTCAAATCTGACATTTTTTCGTGGATTTCTTCACCAATTCCTCCTAAAAGGTAATCTTCTCCGTTATCCCTTCTTTCTATCTGAAAAATCTTACCCATTTTTCATATTTGTGGAACCCTTGTTTGCTTAGATTAGACTTTTGCATGTAAAAATTGAAATAGCTTTGTGGGATTAGGATTTGTAGATGATTTGTAATCATCGTGGAACCCAAGTATTGTTGTTTTATATTGACAATATATGCTTCCATACTGAATGTGACGCCCCGATTCAATTGTACACTAATCATATACGTAAACGTGTACGATCAAGATTAGGGACTCACGGGAAGATATCACAATACAACTCTATAAATAAAATAAGTCATACAAGCATCATATTACAAGTCAGTGGCCTCGAGGGCTCGAATACAAGAGCTCGGTCATAGACGAGTCAGCGGAAGCAACAATATCTGGGTACAGACATAAGTTAAACAGATTTTCCTTAAAAAGACTAGCACAAACTGGGATACAGATCGAAAGAGGCGCAGGCCTCCTGCCTGGGATCCTCCTGAACTACTTCTGGTCGTCGTCAGCGGCCTACACGTAGTAGTAGACACCTCCAGTGTAGTAGGAGTCGTCGTCGACTGTGGCGTCTGGCTCCTGGACTCCATCGTTTGGTCGCAACAATCGAGTATAAAAAGAGGAAAAAGAGGGAGCAAAGCAACCGTGAGTACTCATCCAAAGTACTCGCAAGCAAGGAGCTACACTACATATGTATGCATTAGTATCAAATGGAAAAGGGTAGCATATGTGGACTGAACTTCAGAATGCCAGAATAAGAAGGGGATAGCTAGTCCTCTCGAAGACTACGCTTCTGGCAACCTCCATCTTACAGCAGAAGAAGAGAGTAGATGGTAAGTTAACCAAGTATCATCGCATAGCATAATTCTACCCGGCGATCCTCCTCTCGTCGCCCTGTGAGAGAGCGATCACCGGTTGTATCTGGCACTTGGAAGGGTGTGTTTTATTAAGTGTCTGTTTCTAGTTGTCATAAGGTCAAGGTACAACTCCGGGTCGTCCTTTTACCGAGGGACACGGCTATTCGAATAGATCAACTTCCCTGTAGGGGTGCACCACATTTCCCAACACGCTCGATCACCTTTGGCCGGACACACTTTCCTAGGTCATGCCCGGCCTCGGAAGATCAACACGTCGTAGCCCCACCTAGGCACAACAGAGAGGTCAGCACGCCGGTCTAAATTCTATAGCGCAGGGGTCTGGGCCCATCGCCCATTGCACACCTGCACGTTGCGAGGGCGGCCGAAAACAAACCTAGCCTCCCTAATACAAGAGCAGGTGTTCCAGTACAATTCGGCGTGCGTCGCTCAGTCGCTGACGTCACGAAGGCTTCGGCTGATACCACGATATCGAGTGCCCATAACTGTTCCCGCGTAGTTGGTTAGTGTGTATAGGCCAGTGGCTAGACTCAGATCAAATACCAAGATCTCGTTAAGCGTGTTAATTTGAAATAACCGTGGACGCCGACCAGGGTTAGGCCCACCTCTCTCCTAGGTGGTCTCAACCTACCATGTCGCTCCGCCACAAAGGTTCCCTTTGATAGAGGCGGGGTGTCCCGATCTTTCGATGAGATGATAACTATCGATTTGGTGAAGATGACTTTGACGATCCGACTACAAACGTGCACGATGTTGCGCCTTAGCAATCGCTTAACCAACTTCGAGAGGTTATTGACCACGCCGGAGCACAATCAACCTGACCACGAAGGTCTATTCCTGCAAGCAATCGAAGAACAAGCAAGAATATGATAAAAGCAATCTGAATATTGCGAGTATATATGAAGTATTGATAGATAAAGGTGGGGATCCGTAAGCGGTCTTGGTCTGGTCGTTGGACACAAACAAAGTACACGAAGTTGCAATGGCTAACTTTTAACTAAACAAATCCCAAGGAAAAGCTACTAGATGGATCTACTTATATAGGAGCAAGGGGTGGCGGCCAAGGAGGTGGGAGGACGTCCCAGGGCAGCCTAAAACTAAATCTAGGTCGTACAAGGCCAATGGGCCCAAGTGAAGGTGATGTAACACCTTTGGACTTGTAGTTTGACTCGGATTCTGCTGCAGCATCAGATTGTTTCGTCCACAACTCAACGCTCCGGACGAATTTGAAGGTGATTCCAATTGGGTTGGAAAGTGCACGAAATCTAGTTTCCAACAAAAAAAGAATCACCCAATTCGGAGTCCGTATGAAAAACTTGTGTCGTTTTGAGTCAGGTGTGTCTGTGCAGTCCGAATCTGAATCCAGAACGTGAGAGACTTGGACTCTATCTTCTCTTGGGCCAAAAGTGACGTGAGAAAACTTTTTGGACAGCAAATAAACATCTCTTTCTTCCTTATCTTCATATGTGGATTGTACAAATGTCCCATACACCTGCAATTAGACAAAACACAAAAGTGTGTGAAGTATTTTTGTTCTGGATAACATAAATAGATTATTGAATAGTTTGCACTAGAAATCACGTGACAAATATGCATATATGCAATATTTTTTGTCATATCCAAGGTAGTTCATGTCCTCATCATCCTCCCCTTCTTGAAAATAAAGCCGTCCTCGGCGTTGCTTAATCTGAAATGTGGCTAACAAAAGAGACAAGGTGTACATGTTGTATATGTATATGTCATCCATTTTTACTTCCCTTGATTTTTGCATATATGACACATGAATAGATGAGTAAGTTGCATAGTTCATAAAATCTAAAGCCAAAAAATTAGCACAAGAAGTAGAAGGCATGAAAATATTGCAACTCAGTTTGCACATATAAGTGAAGCTCTTATTCATTTCAAAAGGTTGACAATGTTCATCATTAAACCATCCCAACATTGGTGAATAAACCTTACTTGCATCAAATTTACATGCTACAACATGCTTAAATAAGCAAACATGCAATAAGTCATTCAACACAGAATCATCACCAAGATTAGAGGTCATATCAAAATGATTAAACATTGGTTCTTTTGCATCAATAGTTAATTCAATGTGTGCACTCAAAAATGTTGGTATTTCAGTTGTTTGATCACATGGCAAAGTCAAATTATCAACGTAGTCCTCTAAAATAGGTGGTGTGATCAAAGTAGTGGGTAGCTCATCAGATGGTGCATTCAAATTGACAAGGCATTCATCATTCTCATGTAGAGATGGAAGATCAGTACCTTTGTCATTACCTCTTATGATCAACTCAGATGATGTAGCCACTCTCGGGGGCGATGTGTCACATGGTGGAGGTGATGTAGTCCTGACAACAATGGATGTGGTTGTCATAGTATGCCTAGTAGTTGAAGGAACAATCATATCAACTCTTGGAATGTGCACCGTGCGCTTGTTCTCCTCGTGGCCAACACGTCGTTTTATTTCCTGTTCAGCTTTGCAAGCAAGATGAAACAAATGGTCCATAGGATAACACTCTTCATGAATTAGTATCTCTTGAATATCATGGTTTAATCCTCCCCAAAATCTATCCATAAAATCATCTTCACTTTCTTCTAAAGAGGAATGCAACAAGGTAGTTTGTAAATCATCATAATATTTTGTTACAGTTTCACTACCTTGTTTTAAGTGTTGCAACTTCTTAATCATGTCACGAGTATAATAAGCAGGGACGAAAGTATGTCGCATGGCAAGTTTCAAATCATCCCAAGTAGTAGGTATATAATCAGGGTGTAACCGACAATATTCACTCCACCAAACCAAAGCATAACCAGTGAAAGAACCAACCGCAACCTTAACCTTTTTAAGTTCATTGAAATTATGGGAAGCAAATATATTTTTTATGTCGAACTCCCATTCAATATATAAAGCAGGTTTAAAACGGCCATTAAATGGTGGTATAGATACATTAACCTGATCATGTGCATTTGGATGTTTGTGCACCTCTCGTGACGGTTGTGGTATTTGCAATCTATCAATAACTATCGATTTGGTGGAGACGACTTTGACGATCCGACTACAAACATGCACGACGTTGCGCCTTAGCAATCGCTAAACCAATCTCCTGAGGTTACTGACGATGCCGGAAGCACGGTCAGCCTGACCACGAAGGTCTATTCCTGCAAGCAATCGAAGAACGAGCAAGAATATGATAAAGCAATCTGAATATTGCAAATATATATGAGGTATTGATAATGGTGGGGATCCGTAAGCGGTCTTGGTCTGGTCGTTGGACACAAACGAAGTACACGAAGTTGCAATGGCTAACTTTTAACTAAACAAATCCCAAGGAAAAAGCTACTAGATGGATCTACTTATATAGGAGCAAGGGGTGGCGGCCAAGGAGGTGGGAGGACGTCCCAAGGCAGCCTAAAACTAAATCTAGGTCGTACAAGGCCAATGGGCCCAAGTGGAGG